CTGTGCATGTTTATCCATGAGTTTATCTTTTATTTAATATATTATACCTTTCACCAAGGTTAATCTTGCACAGCATTTACAGTACAGATATTTTCACACAATTTTATATGTATATCTTAGTCTCTCTCTCTCCTCTACACTTCTCTCTTCTCCAGGTGCATACACGCTTATTATAACCCACTTTTCACGTCCAATCTTTATTTTACTCCACATAATCCTTGAATTAATACATTTATAGTCCCTCTTTTCCTGAGTGAATGCGTGGGGAGTTTTGAATCAAGTGTGAGAGTAATGGTGGTTGGGGATTTCAATGCTAAAGTGGGTAAAAATGTTATGGAGGGAGTAGTAGGTAAATTTGGGGTGCAAGGGGGAAATGTGAATGGGGAGCCTTTAATTGAGCTATGTGTAGAAAGAGATTTGGTAATAAGTAATACATATTTTATGAAAAAGAGGATAAATAAATATACAAGGTATGATGTAGCACGTAATGAAAGTAGTTTATTAGATTATGTATTGGTGGATAAAAGGTTGATGGGTAGGCTCCAGGATGTACATGTTTATAGAGGGGCAACTGATATATCGGATCATTATTTAGTTGTAGCTACAGTTAGAGTAAGAGGTAGATGGGAAAAGAGGAAGGTGGCAACAACAAGTAAGAGGGAGGTGAAAGGTATAAACTAAGGGAGGAGGAAGTTCAGGTGAGATATAAGCGACTATTGGCAGAAAGGTGGGCTAGTGCAAAGATGAGTAGTGGGGGGGGGGGGTGAAGAGGGTTGGATAGTTTTAAAAATGCAGTATTAGAATGTGGGGCAGAAGTTTGTGGTATAGGAGGGTGGGGGCAGGAGGAAAGAGGAGTGATTGGTGGAATGATGACGTAAAGGGTGTGATAAAAGAAAAAAGGTAGCTTATGAGAGGTTTTTACAAAGCAGAAGTGTTAAAAGAAGAGCAGAGTATATGGAGAGTAAAAGAAAGGTGAAGAGAGTGGTGAGAGAGTGCAAAAAGGGGAGCAGATGATAGAGTGGGAGAGGCACTGTCAAGAAATTTTAATGAAAATAAGAAAAAATTTTGGAGTGAGTTAAACAAGTTAAGAAAGCCTAGGGAAAGTATGGATTTGTCAGTTAAAAACAGAGTAGGGGATACACAAGGGGAGTTAGTAGATGGGGAGATGGAGGTATTAGGTAGATGGCGAGAATATTTTGAGGAACTTTTAAATGTTGAGGAAGTAAGAGAGGCGGTAATTTCATGCACTGGTAAAGGGAGGTATACCGTCTTTTAGGAGTGAAGAAGAGCAGAATGTAAGTGTGGGGGAGGTACGAGAGGCATTATGTAGAATGAAAGGGGGTAAAGCAGCTGGGACTGATGGGATCATGACAGAAATGTTAAAAGCAGGGGGGATATAGTGTTGGAGTGGTTGGTACTTTTGTTTAATAAATGTATGAAAGATGGGAAGGTACCTAGGGATTGGCGGAGAGCATGTATAGTCCCTTTATATAAAGGGAAAGGGGACAAAAGAGATTGTAAAAATTATAGAGGAATAAGTTTACTGAGTACACCAGGAAAAGTTTACGGTAGGGTTATAATTGAAAGAATTAGAGGTAAGACAGAATGTAGGATTTCGGATGAGCAAGGAGGTTTCAGAGTGGGTAGGGGATGTGTAGATCAAGTGTTTACATTGAAGCATATATGTGAACAGTATTTAGATAAAGGTAGGGAAGTTTTTATTGCATTTATGGATTTAGAAAAGGCATATGATAGTGGATAGAGGAGCAATGTGGCAGATGTTACAAGTATATGGAATAGGTGGTAAGTTATTAACCCTTTGAGGGTCGACAGGCCCTCTCCGAAACTCGTTCTCAGGGTCGGCAATTTTGCCAATTTCACACAAATTTCAAAAGATGCCAATTTCCGAATAGGGTCCAGAATAAACAAGAAAGACATTCCTGGCACTAAAATGACATTTCCTCTAGTCATTAGTCATGTCTCAAGGCCCCTCTTATATTCTTTTGCTTTCCACTTTGAATTTTTATTTTCACAAAAAATATAAGATTTACTGTTATGCAGACTACTGCATTAGTGTAAAAAATGGTATAAATATTATTGGTGCACTTGTGAAAGAATATTAGACTCACTCAGTTGACGTGTATTGCATGCTTGGCACGATTTGTTTACTTTTTGAAGTTTGGTAAAAATCGAACATTTCTGCTACTTTGAGCTCAATTTCAAGGCACCTTTCTTTGTAAAACCAGTCAAAATCATCTCAATTTCTGTAATATGTCTTCCATTCTATAAAATGAGACCAAGAAAACTAGAATACAACAATAAATACCATACGAAAATACACTGCAAAGTCGCTGATTTATTAAAAAAAATGGTCAGTTTTTTTTTTCTCATTATGCACTGTGTGCTGCAGGATTTTTTTTTAGACTGTGCACACTGACCACATAGACCCATTCTTTCATATGAAGGCCTACCAGCTTTCTCCCACTAGATTTGAGGCCGCTAGAATTTATGAGTACTAGTACGTCAAAAACCCCTACGCGTAAGACGTACTAGTACAACGAAAACCCTCAAAGGGTTAAATGCTGTAAAGAGTTTTTATGAGGATAGTGAGGCTCAGGTTAGGGTGTGTAGAAGAGAGGGAGACTATTTTCTGGTAAAAGTAGGTCTTAGACAGGCATGTGTAATGTCACCATGGTTGTTTAATATATTTATAGATGGGTTGTAAAGGAAGTAAATGCTAGGGTGTTCGGGAGAGGGGTGGGATTAAATTTTGGGGAATCAAATTCAAAATGGGAATTGAGTTACTTTTTGCTGATGATACTGTGCTTATGGGAGATTCTAAAGAAAAATTGCAAAGGTTAGTGGATGAGTTTGGGAATGTGTGTAAAGGTAGAAAGTTGAAAGTGAACATAGAAAAGAGTAAGGTGATGAGGGTATCAAATGATTTAGATAAAGAAAAATTGGATATCAAATTGGGGAGGAGGAGTATGAAGAAGTGAATGTTTTCAGATACTTGGGAGTTGACGTGTTGGCGGATGGATTTATGAAGATGAGGTTAATCATAGAATTGATGAGGAAAAAGGTGAGTGGTGCGTTGAGGTATATGTGGAGTCAAAAAATGTTATCTATGGAGGCAAAAAAAAAGGGAATGTATGAAAGTATAGTGGTACCAACACTCTTATATGGGTGTGAAACTTGGGTGGTTAAATGCAGCAACGAGGACGGTTGGAGGCAGTGGAGATGTCCTGTTTAAGGGCAATGTGTGGTGTAAATATTATGCAGAAAATTCGGAGTGTGGAAATTAGGAGAAGGTGTGGAGTTAATAAAAGTATTAGTCAGAGGGCAGAAGAGGGGTTGTTGAGGTGGTTTGGTCATTTAGAGAGAATGGATCAAAGTAGAATGACATGGAAAGCATATAAATCTATAGGGGAAGGAAGGCGGGGTAGGGGTCGTCCTCGAAAGGGTTGGAGAGAGGGGGTAAAGGAGGTTTTGTGGGCGAAGGGCTTGGACTTCCAGCAAGCGTACGTGAGCGTGTTAGATAGGATGAATGGAGACGAATGGTACTTGGACCTGACGATCTGTTGGAGTGTGAGCAGGGTAAAAATTTAGTGAAGGGAATTTAGGGAAACCGGTTATTTTCATATAGTCGGACTTGAGTTTCCCGGAAATGGGGAATACAATGCTCACTTTAAAAAAGGGTTTGGAATTGGCAGTTTGGAGGGATGTGTTGGTATCTTATATGTATATGCTTCTAAACTGTTGATCTGAAACACCTCTGCAAAAAACATGATATGGTGTGATGTGGTGAAAGGTTGAAATGAGAAAGTATTTTCTTTTGATTTTTCTTTTTTGGGTCACCCTGCCTCGGTGGGAGACGGCTGACTTGTTGAAAAAAAAAAAAAGTCTTAGTCTCCTCCATGGGGAAGTGTAACAGAATTCTTCCTCCGTAAGCCATATGTGTCGTAAGAGGTGACTAAAATGCCGGAAGCAAGGGGCTAGTAACCCTTTCTCCTGTACACATTACTGAATGTCAACGGAGAAACTTTCGTTTTTCCTTTTGGGCCACCCCGCCTCGGTGGGATACGGCCGGTGTGTTGAAAGAAGAAGAATCTTAGTCTTGACTGTATATTTGATGATGATCCATATAATACTTGCTATTTATTTTAAAGACAATGGTTTAACCATTGGCAGTTATATCATAATCTTATAAAATAAGACTAGAATATTTTGTCAATAATGGCACCTCAAGGGGAATATCTTGATACTGATTAGGAGACTCTTGATTCAAGGTATTAAAGCTTCTCTTCTCTGGGTCAAACTTATATCCTGTTCCCTGGGTGCTATGTGGCTGCTAATGGTTTAGCACTTTCCTTTGAATATCGTAATATTAATCCAAGATGAGACTTAGGTATTATGCTTTTTCTACTCCATTCATGAACTACAAGTGTGATAATATTTGTGCTGGCTCACTTGTGTTTTTGTTGGTTATTATTCAACTTCTCAAAGAATCTCCAATAGAGTTTTAAGAAAATTTTCACTAATGATACACATGAAGAGATGCTGTATATATGATTAAACTGTTCCACTATGTTTGCTTTTAATCCTTTTGGGGTGGGTCCCATTGTTCTACGGCTTTGAAGGGAAGATCAGTTCAGTTGTTCTACGCCATGAGCTCAGCTCACTCAGATAAGCTGTGAGTGGTAAATTTGGACCTAGATATGAGAAAATGGGTCTATGCAGTAAGAGTGCACCATATAAAAAAAATCCTGCAACAAGCAGTGCATAATAGGACAAAAAATGCAACCATGTTTTTGGTTTAAAACAGCAACTTTGCCGTGTATTTTCATATGGTTTTTATTGTATTCTTGGTTTCTTGGTTTCATTTGATAGAATGGAAGTAATATTACAGAAACAGATGATTTTGATTGGTTTCAGGACTGAAAATAGCATGAAATTGAGCTCAAAGTAGCAGAAATGTTCAATATTTGCCTATATTCCAGATTCCACAAATTGTCACTCATCCAATACGCATCCAGTTGGTCAGTCTGATGCGTGTCCACAAATGCACCAACATTATTTATACAATTTTTTGTTATTATCACACTGGCCGATTCCCACCAAGGCAGGGTGGCCCGAAAAAGAAAAACTTTCACCATCATTCACTCCATCACTGTCTTGCCAGAAGGGTGCTTTACACTACAGTTTTTAAACTGCAACATTAACACCCCTCCTTCAGAGTGCAGGCACGTATTTCCCCCCACCCCAGGATCAAGTCCGGCCTCCCGGTTTCCCTGAATCCCTTCATAAATGTTACTTTGCTAAACCCCTCCAACACACGTCAAGTTTTAAAAAACCATTTTTTTCCCCATTCACTCCTATCAAACACGCTCACCATGCTGCGGGAAGTCGAACCCCTCGCACACAAAACCCCCTTTTACCCCCTCCCTCCAACCCTTCCTAGGCCGACCCCTACCCCCCCCTTTCCCTTCCCACTACGACTGATACTCTTGAAGTCATTCTTTTTTCGCCCCTTTCTCTCTACTGTCCGAACCCCTCAACAACCCTTCTCAGCCCTCGGGACAACATTTTGGTAATCCCCACCCCCTCCTAACTTCCAATAAAAAATTCCTGCATTATTCACACCACAATTGCCCTCAAAACGACATCTCCCCGCCTCCAGCCTTCTCCCCGCTGCAACATTTATCACCCACGCTTCCACCCATATAAAAGCTTGGTAAAACATACTCTTACATTCCCCCCTTTGCCTCCAAGGGCAAAGTTCTTTGTCTCCCAGACCCTAAGTGCACCCCTCACCTTTTTTTTCCCCCCATCAATTCTAGATTTACCTCTCTTTTTTAGACCCCCGCTGACACGCCACTCCCAAAAATTTAATACGTTCACCCCCCTCCTACTCTCCCTCCAATCTGATATTCAATCTTTTTATCACCTAATCTTTTTGTTATCCTCAAACCTTACTTTTCCCGTATTCACCTTTAATTTTCTTTTTTTGCACACCCCACCAAATTCATCCACCAATCTCTGCAACTTCTCTTTAGAATCCCCCCAAAAGAGCACAGTGTCTCAGCAAAGAGCAGCTGTGACAACTCCCACTTTGTGTGTGATTCTTTATCTTTTAACCCCACGCCTCTTGCCAAGACCCTCGCATTTACTTCTCTTACAACCCCCATCTATAAATATATTAAACAACCACGGTGACATCACACATCCTTGTCTAAGGCCTACTTTTCTGGGAAAAAAAATTTCCCTCTTTCCTACATACTCTAACTTGAGCCTCACTATCCTCGTAAAAACTCTTCACTGCTTTCAGTAACCTACCTCCAACCCCATACACTTGCAACATCTGCCACATTGCCCCCCTATCCACCCTGTCATACGCCTTTTCCAAATCCATAAATGCCACAAAGACCTCTTTAGCCTTATCAAAATAGTTCACTTATATGTTTCACTGTAAACACCTGGTCCACACACCCCAACCTTTCCTAAAGCCTCCTTGTTCATTGCTACCCTATTCTCCGTCTTACTCTTAATTCTTTCAATTATAACTCTACCATACACTTTCCCAGGTACACTCAACAGACTTATCCCCCCATAATTTTTGCACTCTCTTTTGTCCCCTTTGCCTTTATACAAAGGAACTATGCATGCTCTCTGCCAATCCCCAGGTACCTTACCCTCTTCCATACATTTATTAATTTAATTTGCACCAACCACTCCAAAACTATATCCCCACCTGCTTTTAACATTTCTATCTTTAAACCCATCAATCCCGGCTGCCTTACCCCCTTTTATTTTACCTACTGCCTCACGAACTTCCCCCACACTCACAACTGGCTCTTCCTCACTCCTACAATGTTATTCCCCCTTGCCCTATACACGAAAACACAGCTTTCCCTATCTTCATCAACATTTAACAATTCCTCAAAATATTCCCTCCATTTCCCAATACCTCTAACTCTCCATTTAATAACTCTCCTTCCTATTTTTAACTGACAAATCCATTTGTTCTCTAGGCCTTTCTTTAAATTGTTAATCTCACTCCAAAACTTTTTTTTATTTTCAACAAAATTTGTTGATAAAAATCTCACCCACTCTCTCATTTGCTCTCTTTTTACAATTGCTTCACCACTCTCTTAATTCTCTCTTTTTCTCCATATACTCTTCCCTCCTTGCATCACTTCTACTTTGTAAAAACTTCTCAATGCTAACTTTTTCTCCCTTACTACTCCTTTTCATCATCATTCCACCAATCGCCCTCTTCCCTCCGCACCCATTTTCCCTGTAACAAAAACTTCTGTAAAACACTCTAACACAAATTTTTAAAAAATCCCCCTCCTTTTCGACCCCATTCCCTATGCTTCATTACCCCATCTATCCTCCAATAGCTGTTTATATTTACCCTAATGCCTCCTCTTTTAGTTTATAAACCTTCCCTCTCTTTTCCCTGATGCTTCTTTTCCTTTGTATCCCATCTCCTTTTTACCTCAGTGAGCTACAACTAGAAAGTGATTGATTATCTGGGCCCCCTCTAAAACATTACACCCAAAGTTACTAAACCCGTCTTTTATTCCCAAAAAAATCCAACAAACACTGTCTTTTTCGCCCTACATCATATTTGTATACTTATTTATCCTCTTTTTTTTTTAAAATATGTATTACCTATAACTAAACCCCTTTCATACAAAGTTAAATCAAAGGGCTCCCATTATCATTTACACCTCACCCAAAACTTCCCTCCAAACCCTCCTAAAATTTTTCTCCTCCTTTAGCATTCAAGCCCCCTCCACAATTCTCTCTCCCCTTGGTTCAAAGGCCCTTACATTCATTAACATCCCCCAAAAAATCTCTCTCTCTCCTCTGCTTTCCCCTTTTTTTCCCAGGTGCTTTCCGCTTTTATGACCCACTTCTCGCACCCAAACAAAATTCTTAAATTTTACCTTCATATTTTTTTTCTCCTTCCTAACTGATCATTTAACATTTTGCTCCCCCCTTCCTTTGCTAACTCTCTAAATTACCCCAGTTTAAACCCCATTTATTTCCCCCACTGAAACTCTCCTACCCCCTTCAGCTTTGTTTCGCTTGGGCCCAGGACACCCAACTTCTTTTCTTCATAACATCAGCAATCATTTTTTCTGCCCCCGCACTAATCCCCCCTTTTAAGAAACCCCCTTTTTTATAAAATTTTTCTTTCTTTTTTTATTTATTGTATACGGAAAGGGGTTCTAGCCATTGCCCCCGGCATTTTTCGCCTCATAGACCGAGGGCTTAGGAGGAAAGATTCTTTTCCCTTTCCCCAGGACAATAGAAGAAATAAAAAGAACAGGCTATTTAGAAAAAAAGGGGAAAAAAATAGATGTATGTATAATTTTTTGCATGTGGTGTCTGTGAAGTGTACCCAAATGTAAGTAGGAGTAGCAGATATCCCCGTTTCTTGCGTGTTTATGAGAAAAAAGAAAACCCGCATCCCACCCCATGCAAAACAGTTAAGGGTTTTTTTTTCACAGCATCGGCAGGACGGTATACTTCCTGGGTTTGGGTTGCTGTCTACCAACCTATCCTATTTATACAATTATTACAATAATACAGTATTGCATAACGAAAACTTCATTTTTTGTGTTAACAAAATTCAAAATGAAAGCAAAGTAAAATTTGGGGAGGCCCGAGGAAAATGAAATGAAAAGAGGAAATGTTGTTATAGTGCCAGGGTGTCTCATTGTTTTTTGGGGGCCCCATTTTGAAGTTGGCAATTTTTAATTTTGTGTAAAAATTGGCCAAATTACTAATTTTGAGTACTGTATTGGGTTTTTGAAATAGGAAAATTGGGCAGTTTATTGTAGAATATAGCTAAAAGTTTGGTCACTGGAACAAAGGAATTGGAAAGAAGGGGGCTTTAAAGTGGCAAAATTGCCAATGCGTAAGTATCGCCGGATAGTTAACTTTGTGGAGTGTAATTCTGCAAGTTTTCCATCAATTTCATATTTTGGGTTTTCATTACTTTTGGAAAAAAGAGTCTCTACATTTTATAAAAAAAAAAAAAATGTATTTTTTTAATTCTCTGACCCTGAGCAATTTTTCAGATCAGGATTTCCCAACCCTAAAAGGGGTTAATAAAAAATTTGAGGGTTTTAAAGAAAAAACAACCAGTGCCGGGCCCCTATCATCCCCAGATGCTTCAGTTTTGTCATTCAAGTTTCCTGTGTTCGGAATTGCATGTTTTGAAATCTTTTTCTTTATTGTAAAGAGAGGCTTTTCATGCAGAAAGAAGATTAAAGGTAACATTTTAATTTGTTCATTTCTCGATTGTCATTTTATTATGGTATGGGGTACTTATTCAGAAAATTTTTGCTAATCAAAAATTATTAAGGTTTGAAGGTTATTTGAGGAAGGAAGTAAAATTTTTTAAAATAATATTTTTGGAAATAATTAATTTTTACCTACGGGGTTTATTATCCCGTATTTGGGAAAGCAATACAAATTCCATTAAAATTAAGAAATTTTTTTTTTTTGGCAAAATTTTCCCTTTCCAATTCCTTGATAGTTAATTTTCCTGTATGACCGGTTTTGTGGAAAGATTATGTAAAAATTAAAAATTTGACTTAAAATGAAAAATTTTGTTTTAAGAACCATACTATGAGGGTCTGCGTTTTTCAGAGAGGCTAATGAATTTTTTTTCCTTTTTTGGGTGGCGCCTTTGGGGAAGTCTTTTTTTTAAAAAAAAGGGGGGTTTGTTTAAAATCTAAAAACGGGATAATCTGTTTTGTGGAAACCACTATTTATGGGCATTTGGAAGTTTTTCCCAAAAAGAGGTACTTTGGGGCACTTTTTTGCTTTTAAATTACGGCCTCAAATTCCTTTGGGGGGAAAAGGGGCTTTGCCTTATTGGGAAGGTCTTTTTTTGTTGGAATTTTAAAACTGGGCAATGTATGAGAAAATGTTTTTTTAATACCCTTTGAGGTTTTTTTGTATGTATTTAGGGGGGTTTTTGATTAGTTTTTTCTGGGCTAAAATTATGGGGGG